GTGTGTGTGTGTGTGTGTGTGTGTGTGTGTGTGTGTGTGTGTGTGTGTGTGTATGTGTGTTCCTACTGTATTTTCCACTGCATGCATCCGATGAAGTGGGTTTTAGCCCACAAAAGCTTATGCCCAAATAAATGTGTTAGTCTCTAAGGTGCCACAAGTACGCCTCATTCTTTTTTCTATGTCACAGTTCACTGCTCTCTAAATCAGTGCTGCAGAGAGAGAAACAAATAGCCCCGCACTATATGTTTAGACTTAAGTGTCAACTGGGTTACGAGATACAGCTTAATTTGAAAGGATGTAAGTGCATGTTCTCTGCTGGTCTCTTAGACAGACAGGTTGTAGCTGTGATGCAGAGAAAAGTGAAAGAACTTTAGGAAAAGCAAGTTTAACATTTAAACAAAATTATTGTACATCATTTAAAAAAATACTCATTTAACTTAGCTTAAAAATTTATTCCACAACCTAACCACAGCTCTACAAGAGAACAAATGTACATAATACTGTACTTTGTAACCCTGTGTAAATAACCTAAGTCACACTTATATTAAGATTCCACTTACATAGGGCCAACAAATCATTAATAGGTGTTTTAATAAATGGTAAAAGAATTGGTATATATTGTTATAAAGTCCAACAGGCTACTTTCTAGCCATCTATAACACCTACTGATGTGCTTATAACCATCCATAACACACACTACTCATGTCTATAACTTGCTTATAACATTTATTAATTACTTATTAGTCCTTTATAAACTATTTATAAATGGAACCTTAATATGAAGAGCGACTAACTTCATACTACTTTAGCCCAAATACTCCAGGACACACCAACTTTCACATTTTTATTTAAAATTCTGCATTTTCGTTTGGGAGGGTCTTTAACCAATGAAGTTACAACTACCTAAGGTTGTTAACAAATATATAGCAGACACTAAAGGCAAAGCAAAGGAGGTGTGGAAGACCACATGACAGATATTTTTCAAAAAGAATCACTCTGACTAGTGTTATAATTAACACTGCTACTATGACAACAATATCAGGAAATGACAAAATATGCTGAAATACAAGACATCCTTTTGTCTTCTTTTTAGAAAAAAATTATATAATATAAATAAATAAACATAAAATATTAAGGTAAGTTCCAAAACCCACCAGTGGTGTCATCAGAAGGAGACAAATGACTACTCCTGGGTTCCAGCCTTTATCTCCTTAGCTTACCTGCATATAATCATCAATATACTGGGAAAGCCCTATTGAGAGCTTCATATATAGGGAACAGTAAGCATTACATTTAGGTCTCAATTTTTCCATCCAGCATTTTCATCTCTGAATCCGTGCCTGAGCTATTTCAATCATATCACTTGCCTTTTATGGAATTCAAGTAGGCAACACAATGTTTAACAAAGGTCAGGTAGGACTTAGAATCCTCCTTCACTTTTAAAGCCTGTCTTCATTCTTGTTCTCTTCCACATGGTTTTCATTCTCCTCTGTCTTCTCCTCCTCCTCATCATCTCCAAAAGTCTGTTCTTGCATGGTAGTAAAAGTAAGTGATCTGGCGGCAACCTGTGCAGCCAGACCTGATGTGAAGTTGAAATCCGTTGATATATGGAGCTGAGCCAGCCTTTGCTTGATGGAGGACTGTAATGCGTCCCTCAAAGGGGGCTGTAAAACCTCCATTCCATCCACACCAATTGGCTCCACTTTATCTCCTTCACCCTCACATTGGTAACATGTTCTTTTTACAGCCATTGGAGATCCACCTGCATCAGCAGCAATGTCTTTGTTTTCATCCTTTGTAGGATCATCATATAAATATTCAGTACTGCTTTTCCCACTCACAGTGACATGGGCTTTTGGGCTAGAGTCTCTCTCTTCAGAATCATCACTAGTTTGGTTACAGTCCTGCTTTCCTGCTTCTGAATTCAGAGGGGATTCCAAATTATGTATGGGTTCCACTGCTTCTACAGGAGACAAGGGCTTCACTGCAGCTTAAAAAGAAAAGAAAAAAGAAAAAAATTATGACTAAAAAGTAACCTTCCATACATAACTCAGCAATGTGTGTCTTAAGAGATGGAACTGAGAGTTAAAATAGGTAAAATAAAGATGTATTTTCTGAGCAGGATGCTGAAGATGGAAGGTAATGTCTACTAGTTCTACATCATCTTTAAAACTCATGAGACATATGTAAAAATGATATCACATAGAGCTGATGTATTTTATGGAAATTACAAGTAAAATCAGTTGCTGCATCTCACACAAATTAGAACTATCTTCCTTTAAATAACAGCTATCTAATCTAGTAAAGATAACTGGAACATAATAAAAAATGTCTTGTGGGTAATATCTGATTTTATACATCACAACATATAAATAAGATATGTATGCATACAGTAGGATACGTTGTCCTCACAAATAAAGAGTAATTTAGCCTCTCGATGTTAGTAGTAGCAGCGAGTCCCATTGCCAGCAACGGGATGCTTGCCAGGAAGTCTCTCCTCCCAGTGTTAGGGGTTAGTACAACACGATATAATTGCTTCTTGAAGAACAGACGTCTTTCTTTATAGTAAAACGATATAGTGTCCATTTCCAACAAACAGATCCCTAAACTGCGGTAGCTCCATTAGAATAGCAGCACGAACATACATAAGAGCAGCAACAGCAGGTTCCCATGTGGCATTCCCTTTCTAATTCCATTCTGACTTTACCCCTGTAAGCAAAGATGAAAATAACTCTGGAAAATACACCAAACTTTTTATGGGAAACAAGATTACTGTATTAAATTTTTTCCATTGCATTATATTTTAGTAGTATTTATTTTCACTAACTGAACATGGGAATGTTTTTATGCTTGTCATATTAGTAATTATTTTCATTTAACACACTGGAAACTTGTGCTTCAGGATTTACATTTGAAAAAACAAACACACACACACAGTACAGTGTAGCAGCAATTTGGCCTCACCTGTTAATTGTTCTTCTAATGGAGTGGCCCCTTCACCATTTTGAAGAGAATCACTGTGTATCTCTACCAACTTGCTTCTGGAGGCAAGAATATGCCATTTTCTCTATCCATACCAGCCCGTTAAGAGCCAGTTTTGGTGCCTAAATGCCCCAAAGAATACTTCCAAAGCTGGAAAACGATGGAAAGGTAACTATGGAGGGGCAAAAAGCCCAACTGGTAGAGGGCCAAATCCCAGGGATAGGCCCAGGGCTGGATTAACCTTTTGTGGGCCTGGCGCCAAACATATTTGTGGGGCCCCATGGGGAACAATTGTAAAACACAGAAGATCGACTCAGAAGTTGTCTTTGACACAGCACACAGCTGCACAGGTTTTATTTACAAAATTTACAAGTTTAAGTTGCAGATGGAGGTGGCTGCCACTAGGGTACCAGCACTGTCAGCCCTAGGGCCAAAAGAATGCACACAAGTGTACATACAATAAATTATAAAAGAAAAAAATACAAAATAAAACACAGCTAACAAAAGCCAAAGTTGGCCAAAACACCAGCCATGTGCTGCTCCCACTAAAAGGGAACCTTGCCGCTATCTCACCCTTCACATTTCTCATATGAACTACCAGGGCTTGAATTAAATTTCTGTCTGAAACTGGAGTGGATTTAAAACTGTTTAAAACATTTTAAAAATAAAAAAATGAAAAACTATTTACAGGGTCATTATTCATACTTGCCTTGGTTGGCCTTCCCTGCAAGCAGAGAGGCACAGAGACTAGGATTAGGACCAACTGTGCTCCCAAAAGAGCGGGCCAACCCTCCAAATCGGACCAGACCCACATCCCTCCCCAGAACGAACCCCACCCCCCAAGGACTGGACCAGACCAGCATCCCGCCTCAGACCAAACCCCCCAAACAGAACTAGACCACCTTCCAGCCCAAATTGGATCAGACCCCTCTATGAACAACCCCTCTCAACCATGAACCTCCACACTGCCTACCAGAACAGGGCTCCTCCTGAACCTCTATTTCGGAACCCGACCCCCACTCCACAATCCCCAGTTGGACCATTCTCGGGCACTTCACTCCAGAGCCACCCCCTGCTGTCGATTCACCCCTGTTCTCTGAAGCAACCTGGACCAGACCTCACCTAGCTCCAGCTTGGCCAGATGCAGCTCAGACCAAGGTTGCATCCACCCAACTCATCCCCGGTACCCAGGGGGGCTGTGACTCCACTCTCCTGAGGTCTGGCTGCTCCCCGATTGCCTCCAGCTCATCCGGCACTGGCAGGGGCAGTGCAGTGGGGAGGGTCAGGGTGAGCGTCCGGGCTTAGTGCTGACCCCAGGAGTGGGGCTCCCTGGCTGCAGGGGGTGCCTGAGCTCAGCCCATGCCTCCCTCCTCCGCCCCCTGACTGATCTGTGGAAGGGGCTGCAGTCCCCACACAGGGCAGAGGGGACCTGGGACACGGAGCCGGGGTATGTGTGTGAGGTCGCCCCCCTGCCTGCCAGAGGCTGGGAAAGGGCTAAGCACAGCAGCAGCTCCAGGGGGAGGGGCTTGGAGCTGCGATCTGTGCCCCGCAGACACAGAGCAGAGTCTGATGCCCAAGGGAGCTGGGCCCCAGATAGTGGAATGCAGGCCCTGCGGAGCAGCAACCCCGGCACCATGAGTCGGGGTGCGGCCACCTGAAGCCGGGGAGCTCTGGTATGGTCCCCTCGCCATGGCCCTGCTCTCACTGCTACTGCTCCTGACTGTCCTGCTGCAGCCCCTGGATGGATCTGGCTCCTTCGCCAAGCCCAGGGTGCAGCGCTGGGGGGCGGCCGTGGTGCGGCACCTGCAAGCGGCTCCGTGCTCCCAGGGGACGGCTTCCTGCCCCAGCCTGAGTGCCAGCCCCTGGTGCCCGCTGGGCTCACCCTCTACATGTAAGGGGAGGGATGGTGCTCGATGCCGTGGCACCACTGGCATCATTCCAAACCCGGTACTGGATGGACCTATTCTATTTTGCTTGTTTCTTGTTATTTTCACAGAACACTCCTCCCCTAATCTAGAAAGAATTGCTGGGAAGTAGCAAGCAGTAGAAGAACAGAGGTAGAGAGACAGAAAAAACCAGTCGGGAACTATCCAGTAATTGACAGGCTAATTTTTTATTTCTGACGGAATCTAAATAAAAACAGACACAGGCTACTGGGGCCTGAAGGACGTATTTATGGAGGCTGCACCACCAACTCTTTGATACTTGGTGAACGAACAGTGACCCCACAGCGTAGCTTTACAGAACTCTTCAGGGGTGGTTCTGTTCTTTGGGCTTCAGGGGAGGCTCTGTTCTTTTGTTCTTAGTGCTAAGGGAGCAAACACAAACTCCAGGAGAATTTTTAAAAACTCAATGTTGGCTTCTTTGTTAGCTGCCTTGAGCAATCGGGAGACTGTAACCTTAGATCCTTTTTGACCATTTTTGTAGTAACTACAGGTCATCAAGGAGACACATGATGTTTAGAACAGGGCTGTCCTGTCAAGTAGGATTTGAGAGCTCTGACTACGCCAATGATAGTTAGGGCACAAGGAAGGAATAAAACAGTCTTCAGATTGATGTGCAAAGGAGAATACACTTGAGGTAAAATTTCAGGGGCTGTCTGAAACACAAACCTATATGGAAATACCTGAAGAAATGGTTCCTCGCAAGAACATTCTCTTACTTTCCTGACCCTTCTCCCAGAAGAAACTGCCATGAGAAATGGGACTTTGATAGTAAAGAAGCAGAGGAAAACTTTTCTAAGTGGCCTGAAGGGGGCCTCAGTGAGGACAAAGGACCAAGCTGAAATGGCATTTAACTAGCTGGTACCTGAGAGCTGGTCTAAAATTTTTGATTACCTGAGGAAGCAAGAGATGTGAGGATGAACTGCCAAGGTGTCTTCATAGCTAATTAGTGGTAGGTCTCCGAGGGCTAAAACTTGTATCTGTAAGGAAATGTACTAAGCCCCATATCATAGCTATCTAGGAGAAGTTGTAATGTGGACCCAAGGAAGACCGGAAGATGATGCACGTTTTTGGCCTCCCAGCATCAAAAAAATATTCCCCACATTTTTTAATAGGCCCAGACACTTGAAGGCTTCCTACACTGAAAGAACAGCTCTATCATTCAAGGAAACAGATGAAGGACTGCAACATCAATCTTTCAGCCTCCAGGATGTCAAGTTGACTTCTGACAAAGCACCAATCCCTGCCACAGAGGTTCCTTAGAAAATGGGAGACATCGTGTCTCAGACTGATGAATGAAGCATAGTGGGCAACTAAAGTTTTCTGGTCCAAAAGGAGGCAATGATAATTATCTTCACTCCCCAGATTTTTCTGGCTATTGTTCTGAGAAGGGGAGAATGGCAGGAGTCCATCCACTGCACTGACCACATGAATGAAAACACAGCGGGCCCCTCATGCCAGAGAATCTCTGTTCCTGGAACAAGAGGGATGAACTGCTATAGGAACAAGCCCACCCAAGAGAGCTCCCAGGCTGAAAGTATGTTGTTGAATATTACAGGATTCAGCTGCCCCAGGTGAGAGTTGTCCTGTTGTGCCAGTCTCTTGATATTTTCAAAAAAGAGTCCTGTGGCACCTTATAGACTAACAGATGTATTGGAGCATAAGCTTTCGTGGGAGAATACACATGCGACTGACGAAGTGGGTATTCACCCACGAAAGCTTATGCTCCAATACATCTGTTAGTCTATAAGGTGCCACAGGACTCTGTTGCTTTTTACAGGTCCAGACTAACACGGCTACCCCTCTGATACTTGATATTTTCAGTTTACCTCGGATGCAGGCCCAAATGGTCTGATGAATCTTCCTTCATCACTTTGGAAGAGATGCACAGAACCTCAGTCCCAAGTGCTCCACAGAGATTAATGAATGCAGCAGATGTCCAAGTGCCACATTTTATTTGAATTGATGGATTAGAACTGAAGGGGAGAAGCTGCTGAATGACTAGGCCCATTGCTCTTAGTTCAAGGAGGGACATACTCATGCTGGACTCCCTCCTGGACTCCAAGGCAAGGCCTGAGAAGGCCTGGTGTCTATGTGAGTGTTGGCATCTATTGGTGTTCTATTCAAAAGCGTATCCAACACAGGCTCCCCTTTATAATACAACAGCCATTAGCCCTGAGACCTCTAGATTTGGGCTGGGAGCATGATCAGCTCAGACCAACTCCCTCCTTGTTTTTCCAAACTGAGAGGAAGAAGGCCTGAGGGGGATCACATACGGTGGATAGTACATTGCACTGTGCCTGCCAAGGAGAGTGTAAGACCTCTTAGGCACAGAGCAAGGATGAGTGTAGAAAAGAATCATGTGACATCACATGAGGTGTAAACGAAGGATAGTGAGGAAAACTTGCTCTTGATGAGTGTGTGAAGTATTTTGGTGTCTCTGCTTTTGGACTTGACTAGAATTGTAGCTTGATGGACCTGAGAAAGGAAGTGAGAGATGCAACCACACATGTGGTTTTGAAGGCAGGAACAGAGGCCTCATAAATGCGTCTGATCTATTACTGAGCACTTGTCCACAGGATCTTTGAAGGAGGCAATGCACAGGTCCCTCCTTCTCTGGCTAGTTTGGAGATTGAGCCTTTCATCTGGGATATACAGCCAAACATGACAGTTGGATTTCTTGACATCATACAGTTTAAGGTAGATGTTGGACTGCTTCTGTGCTAGACAGGATGTCTTGAAAGTGACTGTCTTCACACACTGGGAATTCCAGATCCTTAGACTTCTTTGGCTTGCAGAAGTCCTTTTTAGGGACATCTGTCTCCTCATTAGATCATCCAGACAACAAATCTAGCCAAATCCATGATGTGAAAATGTCTTCCCCTTGTCTGAAGCACTGCAGGCAAGGACAAAGGGATTTCACCTTCCTCTGAAGGAGAGCGCCTAGATTTTGTAGATTTGTGCTTTTTGCACTTTCTATAGTGCTTTTCCTTAGCCTTCTTTTAAGGAAAGGGGAAGGGAAAGGGGAAGAAGTGAGAGAGAAGAACAGAGAAGGAAAAAAGGCAGAAGAAAGAAATAGTCACAATAAAAATAGAGAGAAACTGCACTAAGCTGCTAGTTTTATTGCTAGAGTCAGGCATACGGCATCCAAAACTGGCTCTTTAAGAGCCATGCACTGTTGCCAGGAAAGAGAAATTCGCACATACCTGCCTCCAGAAACAAGTGAGGAGAGCTGCCAGCAGTCCACTCCAGACTGTCCGAGGGCCACTCCAGGAGAATCCTTTTTCTACTTACAAATTAGATTGTTGGCTTTTAAAAAATATTTTCTGTCTTTCTTGGAATAGATACCAAAGTCTAGCCTGTCACTTCACTCTATGTGTCTCTGTAATTCTGGGATAAAATTGAAAAAGTATTTCTTCTAAACCTGAAAATTTACTATCATTTACAAAGATGTATGATTCTATACAATTTGCTGCCTGATTGACGAGCAGATTTGGTGGACAGCAATGAAAAAGCATACAGCAATTCCCTGTACGCTGTGCTTAATTTTCTCTGCTCTAAGAGCCAAATTCTTAGCATCTTGAAGTTAGTGGCCAAACTTCCTCTCTTTGTTGTTGTTTTTTTTAATTGGAAAGTAAAATGATGCTAGCAAGCCATATGAACAGATGGAGCAACAAATTAGGGCCACACAGATCTATCAAAGGCACTACTACAGTTGAATACAGTATGTATTCTAGCAATACTATGTCAAAAGTTGATTGTAACCAGACAGACACACACCCTTACTAAGAATCAAATTAATTATATAAAAAAAGTCAGTACTTACCATGATCACTAAATAACAGCTGCTTCCATTTCTGTCTCTCTACCTCTGAAGCTCTAAATCCCAGCACAGATTTCAGTTCTTGTAACACTCTCTTGGATTCCTCTCTCTCACGTTTTTGTCTCTCTCTCTCTTCCTGGGAAAAGCAATAAAAGTCCTCCCTTTTGTACTCATTGTCTGTATCTGTATCTTCAACATATGCTTCCAATTCCTACGGAAAAAGAATAAACTGCTCTTTTGATCTGCATATTCCTCAAGGGTCAAGCCCTTTGAGGTACTGCAGTATTTCAGCACTTTAGCAGGAGGATTGAGCCTCAAGTCCATAGTCACCCGCGTGATTGGCATGGCAGGAGTTTGGGGGCCTGACTCTGCTCTCAGTTACACTAGTATAAAACTGGAGTAAGTACATTGATAAAGTCAAGATAACTGAAATCAGCAGAGTCACTTCGGATTTACTCTGGTGCAAACAACCAATACAAAGAGGAGATTTTGACTTGGAGATGGGGATCACTTTTCCTATCATTCCTATTGGATATGACAACTATTGCTATTTTTTACTCTCCCCTCCTCCAGTTCATTCAAGGCTGGGTATCTCATTCATTTTATCAGTGGTAACTGTTCAACCAGATAACTTCAGAAAGAGAAGAATCAACATGTTGAACAGGGAAAAGTTTGAAGTGGTGATGATGTGTGTGTATGGGGAGGGAAAGGGGGCTCATCTTCTCTCAAAATGTGCCCATCACTTAATTCTTGAGTTGAAGCCGACTTTTCTTTCCAGTTACTTTAGCCGTCAAATGAGTGCCCTTAAACTGAGAGAGAAAATAATACACCAAATTGTTCATGTTAAGGCATATTTTAAGAGTTCAGAAATGCAAAGCCTATGGAAACCATATAGGATTAGTTAGGTTAATGCAAGTAAGAATCAATTTAATATATTGCCTTTTAACCAATTCATTTCTTTTAGAGATGTCTTTATCTGGTTCCAAGGTAGCATATGCAGGAACTGGATTCAAAATTAATTTCAAAGCTTTTTGTTCCTGGGTGGGGAACACCACCGTGTGGTACAATATAGGTACTATATACCCTGTCTGCTGTAGAGTAGTTCACAAGTCCGTTAACAAAAGGGCATTGGCTAGCTGCATTACACACCTTGTTGAAGGAGATAAGGTCACTGCTGAAGCAGCTAAAAAGGAAATGGATGAGGGAAATGTCTTCGCAACACAAAATTCATATATAACTTTGAAAGCATCCATTTATTCTTACCTGCTCTTCGGGGATTGGGTCTTTGTCCTCTATATGCAGGGCAGGCTGTAGTAATGGTATCATGGGGCAGAGTGTATTATCACAAGATGATTCAGGTTTGCCTGGAGGTGGGGGGAGGAAGAGGGGGAAGAAGAGAGATTAAAACAAAAAAAGATTAAGTGCAGAAATGAACAGATAACTGATCTTTAAGAATTCAGTGGGGTACTGAGTCAGAGCCCGACTCCAATGCAAAGGACACTGATACACACTCCATCACCTTTCTGAGCACACTGGAAGACTAACATGCTAAAAGCTTCAGGGTATTCCTTGAGAATCATCAGCAACGTGGCAGATATAAATGGGAGCAACATGTTAAACTGGACACTTTGGAAAACTATCTGCAACAGGAAATTAATTTCCACAAAACTCAGCTACATGTTTAGAAAACAGAGTCTTGGAAATGTAAACCAGACAAATCTCTTTAATCACATTCAGTCAGCTGGTTGCTAAAAGAAACTTTTCAATGTACCTTTTTTATCCGGGTTTCTTCGAACCATTTTTTCCACCTGAGAAATGGCCTCTTCCCAGCAGCTGTTGCTTGCCTGGATGTGAGGCTGAATCAGCTTTAGTTTCTGCTCTAGGACTTGATAGGCTTCTAAAGTTAGTTCTTGTGTCTCCTTAGAGCTAACAAGTTTTTCAAGTTCATCCTCAAGAATTATTACCCTAGATGAATGGGAAGGAAAATATCACACTAACATATCTGAATCTCATATTTCATGATTTGTTCAGGTTTTGAATTTAATCACTTTCCTCCATTCCTCCTTCCTTCCATCTTAAACTGTAGTTTAGCCAGCTTCATATGTTTTAAAGCCAAACTCCTCCTCTCCTCCATTCTCATTACGGTAATCCATTAAATTTAGATGGCATTGTGTTATTTAACTAACTGTACCAAAGAAAAATCTTTTTAGGTATATAACCCGTAATTATTGTGTGTTGAATTTTGTTGCAGAACAGACAAAACTCAAGCATGCTTTCAGGATCATTCAAAAAGAGGGACTAAAGAGATGGAGGGTTTTAATAAATCTTTTTGCTTAGCAGTTCATCTTTAAGGAGGTGGTAGCACCACAGAATATCTAAAGATTAATAAACCAACTACAGTAACCAACTCCATGTAGGACAGAGAGACTTTGTCTTCACAAACACTTGGCAATATGTGTGGCTGTTATAGTTTAAAGCTCAGATCCCATGGTGATGGGCACAGTATCAGAACCTGAATAGAATGGAATCCTTCAATTTCAGTTGAAAACTTCTAATTCCAGTCATCTCCTCTTAAAATGGATGCAGGTTGCTCTGAGAAACTGTCACCTCAATTAAATACATTATATAACAGAACAGACTTGTTGTATGTGCAATCGCTTATACTAAAGAGAAAGGCAGCTGGTCAGACCCCTCTGGATTCCCAGAGAGCTGTTAACATTGACCCTACAATAACATTCTTTAAAATATCCAATTCACAAGTTTGTCTCTCACTCATGTTGCTCCTTTCTAAATAAGGGACACTAGTTAAATATCTTTCTCCAGTTGTGGAATATAAACCAGAATTGTTTCCCAGTTGGCAAACTCTAATATATGGGCAGGGAAGCAGAAGCAGCAATATAACCCAGCCTACATTAACAGATATACCCCATCCTTTATCTTGCATGGCTGCAAGCCTCAATTATGTCTTTTTTTTCCAATCTGGGATATAAACCAACAATCAAAGCAGCGCAAGACTGAAGCTTTCTAACTACAGGCACATTCTCTCAAATAGTCTAAACTTACTCATTCAGTAGGGCCTTGAGATGGAGCTGCAAGCTGCGCACTGCTGTGTGAAGGCTGTTCAGAGCTCTTGACTTCGGTTTTGTTTTGGTTGCACGTTCCAAGCCTAACTGATGCTGAGTTTCAAAGTACCGATAAAACTCATAGCTTCGCTTAAGCTCTTCTAAGCAGGCAGCGTGAGTGTGAGGTAGACTTTGAGTCACATCAGACAAAATACAATGAGGCAAACGTTCTGGAGTGATCAAGGGCTTGGGGGATGCATTAACTGGAGAGAGCAGCAGTGCTAATCGTCTGAAGAACTCTGAACTCTGTCCTACCCACAGCTGAAACAGAACCTACAAAATACAGAAAGGATCAAATGGTCTTCATTGTTAAAAAAAACATTAGCATTTCTTCATTCACTTTTTAAAACATTCCCCCCCCTTTTTAAACAGTTTTATCTTCTCCCACAGATTATATGCTCAGCACTGTGTGCCTGGGAGCATATGACAAGGTCATATTAGTCTGGGTGTCTCACACTTTGTGACTGTAAATTCCTTCAATGAGGGTCTCACGTGCTCACTTGTACACAAAAGGCTTTCAGGGGTCCAATGCATCATATCCCCACTTTGGAAAACACTCCTTTGCCGATATGCCAGACTCACTAGTCAGGACAGTCTCTGACTCCCCTGGGGCAGATAAGGAGTGGCCAAGATTCCGACAGCAGGATGTACATTGCACTGAAGAAGACTCTTCCCTCATAACTTGGAGTTGTCACTTCTATGACATGCATCCGACGAAGTGGGTATTCACCCACGAAAGTTCATGCTCCAATACGTCTGTTAGTCTATAAAGTGCCACAGGACTCTTTGCTGCTTTTACAGTTCCAGACTAACATGGCTACCCCTCTGATTCTATGACGTAGTTACTGACTACTATATCCCTCCCCCCAGATTGAAATGCTAATCCATTAGCACTATATATTAACAACATATACTTTGAAATCCTAAGAAATCTGAGCTGTTGACTTACTGTTTTGTGTGCAAAACTGAGCAACTTCACAAATACTATTAAAATGTGGAAACACTGATAAAGGCAGAACAATGGAATAATCTCTTTAAATCATTATTTATGGTAGCTGTCAGGTCACTCATTCTGGCAGTGAAAAAGAGGAATCCCACAGTTCACATTTCTCCAGAATCTCAAATTGAACTATGAAGCAAAACCCATTCTGTTGCACCTTTGAGTGCTCCTCTATTTGCCTACAGAGAAGCGTAGGTTACTTCATAACTAGATAACATTTAAAAGGTGTTAAACTGTGTCTACACTAAGTGCTAATGGGTATGTCAAATCATCTTACATAACTAAAAAAAAAATTTTTTTCCTGATCTAGACAAGGCCCATGTCTCAGAAGACGGTCACAGTAGCACCTTTCTGGGCAATACCTTTTTTTTTATAAAAAAGAGGAAGATAGCCCTTTTAACCGTTACACCAGCCCCACACACAGTCCATGTCTACAATACCATGTATGCCGGTGATACTTATGTTGCTCAGGGGTGTGAAAAAAACACACCCGAGTGACATAAATTTTGTTAGTGTAAGTGGTAGTGGGCACAGCGCTATGTCGGTGGGAGAGCTTCTCCTGCCGACACAGCTACTGCCCCTCGTGGAGGTGGTTTTATTATGTCGATGGGAGTGCTCTCTCCTGTCGGCATAGAGCAGCTACACGAGCGCTATTACAGTGGCACAGCTGCATCGGTACAGCTGTGCCACTGTAAGCTCGCTAGTGTAGACATGGCCACAGAGAGATCAGAATTGGGCTAGTATGGAGTGTGGTCTGAGATTGATTCCCAAGGGCCACAACAGGTCAAGTTACTCGACCTTATTTTCTCATCTGTAAAAGAGGGACACTATTTAGTTCACAGGTAATGTTCTCTAACCTTCTGAGATTCTGGGCGGACAGGCTTTATATGAGTGCAATTATGGATCATTTCCAGTTGTAAATGGGTAGTGGTCTTTCCAATACATGAACTGTCAAAAGAAAAATGTCCATAATAGTGACACACTTAAGGATATGCAACCACCACATATGACCATGTGCAGTGTTGTAGCTGTATTGGTCGCAGAATATTAGAAAGACAAGGTGGGTGAAGTAGTATCTTTTATTGGACCAACTTCTGTTGGTGAGAGAGAGACAAGCATTCAAGCTTGCATAGAACTCTTCTTCAGTTCTGGGTACACGACCTGAAGAAGAGTTCTGAATAAACTTCAAAGCTTGTCTCTCACCAACAGACGTTAGTCCAATAAAAGAAATTACCTCATCCATCTTGTCTCTGTAACATGTGGTCACAGTCAGGTGCTCAGATACCACGGTGATGAGCACCATTATAAGATCTTAGATGGATGGACTGATAATCATTCCAAAAGACACACCTTCCTAATAGTGTGAATAACTTTGGGGAGCTGTTAAGCAATATATTCACCTGGAAAACAGATTATTGCTCTGTAATATAAAGAACTGAAAAGATGACTGCTTCCAGGTGTAGGAGTTATCTGAAGGTAACACTTAGACTGATATGAACTTAGCACAGGGGCAAGTGCTACACAACACTAACTTCCTATTCATCTCTGCATTCAACACAGGGGTTTGGCTGGGTATTATAAAGAAAACCAAATGAAAAGGAGGCAGCCTAAGGAAAGAGCATCAGCACACAGCTCAGAACAAGAAATCAGAGCTTAGGACTTATGAAACATAAAAGGAGGACAGGCCCATATAAACAGAATATAAGGAGAAAGCAGTGAATGACTAACAGGTAACCCACAAAAGTAGAGAACTTTGGAAAGAAAGCAATCCAAAACCTACCTGGAAAAAGGCATGTGGGCCAGAGAAAAGGGAAGCCGGAACATGTTTAGGGTAGCAACTGACCTTTCTAGTCAATAACAAGCATTTGGTTCTTTTTATTGGCAGATATTTGGTTGCTAGGAAGCAATGATACTTCCCCCAAATTACCCTAGATACTTTCCCCTGGATTGAATCAATGTTTGTTTTGTGATGAGGATTTATTCACATACCAAGTACTTTTACTCTGTCAACTGTTCTTGTTTGAGGAGGAGATTTTCCTCACCCACAGGCTGAGACACAACACAAAGTTACAGATATAGGTTAGACATGCTTGAATGACAAAGAAATATTAAAAGATATATGGATGTGTATACATATTATGCTGAAATGCACCTATATTAGAGGTTTTCTGGAGGAAGCAAGCACCCAAGAGAACTATGCACAAATTTAGGGTTCGCAACACAAATGTTGCACTGATTTAAGTAAAATTGTTTAAGTCTATTTTGTTACACTGGTGGAAATCCACATATGGAAACAAAATGGGCTTATATTGATGAGTTTTGTTCAATTATGTCACAACCAGGTTACAAGATGATTGGTTAACAAGTTAAGCTAAAATTGATACAAGACAGTTATTAACTGATTTTTAAGTGTCCACAACAGGGTTTGAACTGGTTTAAATTAATTTAAAAATGATTTTAGTTAAACCAGTGCAAGATGTATATAAACAAAGCCTGGGTTTGGAAGCATTTACAAATTATGACAATTATGGCGTCTGCTGCCCAAAGAATAGTGGAAAAGTAATTTGGTCTGCATAATTCCTACTAAAACTGCAATTTATGAAAACCAAAAGCTGCCATTTAGCAAAGCTGTCTACTCAAAACTAAGCCTCAAAGCTTATCAGTCTTTATTACTGACAATATTTACTGCTAGGACAAAAGAAATTAAGTTCTGAGATTACTGAATAAAATATAACACAATAAAACTAACACAAGAGTCAGACAATAATGAATTTTTCTAAGATAAAACAAAAAAATGCCTGAACTGAAAACCATCAGACTTTTGAAAAGATGAGATCTTCTTTCAATAGCACACATTTACTCATGCAAACTTGGGATATTCGGTATCTCAAAAAGAAGAAAGACTCAGACTCAAAGGCCGGAAGGGACCATCATGTCATCTAGTCAGACCTCCTGCAAATTGCAGGTCACACAACTTAACCCATCCATTCCTGTAATAGGCCCATAACCTCTGACTAAGTTACTGAAGTCCTTAAATCTTGATTTAAAGACTTCAAGTTACAGAGAATCAAACATTTATTTTAGTTCAAACCAGCAAGTGACAGCATTGGCATAGGAAGGCAAAAAACCCCCAGTGTCTCTGCCAACCTAACCTGGCAGAAAATTTCTTCCCAACCCCAAATATGGTGATCAGTTAGACCATGAGCATATGGGCATAACCTACCAGTCAGACACCTGGGAAAGAATTCTCTGTAGTAACTCAGAGCCCTCCCCATCTAGGGTTCCATCTCCAGTTGTTGGAGATATTTGCTAATAGCAGTCGCGGATGGGCCATATGCCATTTTAGGCAATCATACCATTCCCTCCATAAACGTAACAAGCTCAGTCTTGAAACAAGTTATGTTTTTGCTCCACTGCTCCCTTTGAAAGGCTGTTCCAGAACTTCACTCCTCTGATGGTTAGAAACCTTCACCTAATTTCAAGCCTAAAGTTGTTGATGGCCAGTTTATACCATTTGTTCTTGTGCCAGCACTGGCCCTTATCCTAAATATCTCCTCTCCCTCCCTGGTGTTTATCCCTCTGATGTATTTATAGAGAGCAATCATATCTCACCTCAACCTTCATTTTGCTAGGCTGAACAAGCCAAGCTCCTTAAGTCTCCTTTCATAAGGCGGTTCTTCATTCTCTAATCATCCTAGTAGACCTTCTCTACACCTGTTCCAGTTTGAATTAATCTTTCTTAAACACAGGAGACCAGAACTGCACACAGTATTCCAGATGAGGTCTCCCCAGTGCCTTGTATAATGGTAATAACACTTCTCTGTTTCTACTGGAAATACCTCACCTGATGCATCCTAGGATTGCATTAGCTTTTTTCATGGCCACAGCTCACAGTCATCCTGTGATTGAACAGCTTTTTCCTTCTTTGTCACTTCCAGCTGATAGCAAAAACTCTTGTTGTTAATCTCTCAGCACATGACCCTGCACTATTAAAACTTCATCCCATTTCTATTACTCCCAGTTTTCAAGGTTGTATGATATACTGGTCCTCTTCCATGTTGGCAATACCTCCCAACTTTGTAAAAAGAACAGGAGTACTTGTGGC